ATACACGGATGCAAGCTCAGGCTTTAGCCTGAGTAAAATTACATACCCGTACACGTATGATATCACAGGCTTTAACCTCAGTAAAAGTACATACCCCTACAGGTATGACATATCAGGCTTAAGCCTCAGTAAAATTACATACCCCTACACGTATCATATTTCAGGCTTTAGCCTCAGTAAAATTGCATACCCCTACTTGTATGCAATCTCAGGTTTAACCTCAGTAAATTTACATACCGCTACAAGAATGATACCTTAGGTTTAAGTCTCAGAAAAAATACATACCCATACTGATATCTCAGGCTTAAGCCTCAGTAAAATTACATATCCCTACACGTATGTAATCTCAGGCTTTAACCTCAGTAAAATTACATACCGCTACAATAATGATATCTTAGGTTTAAGCCTCAGACAAATTACATACCCCTAGATTTATGCAATCTCAGGCTTTAGCTTCAGTAAAATTACATACCCCTCAGTACACGAATGATATCTCAGGTTTTAGCCTCAGTAAAATTACATACCCCTACACGTATTATATCTCAGGCTTAGGCTCAGTAAAATTACATACCCCTACACGCATGATATGTCAGGTTTAGGCTCAGTAAAATTACATACCCCTACACGCATGATATCTCAGNTGTTGAGCTATTCTATATTTACAGTATCGCGAAGATTTAACTGTCATGATCCGGTCGTTAATGGCGTGATTAGTTCTTTAAATGTAAGGGTTATCTCCCTTCATCCGTTGACTTTGTTGCCATTAGCAACGACGGAGCGATTCGCGGTAATATCAACATGTCTAGATAATTCAAATGTTTTCTTTTTATACCTTTATGTTTTGTGTACTTTTAATCTCTGTGTCCATTATTGGAGAAATAAAATATTGTATAAGTAGTGTAAGGTTGACTATACACCCTTCGTTTTGTAGCAGATTGAATGTATGCCCCTGATGTAGAGCCAAAACAAAAATTATAAATACTAAGATATAAAGAAGTCTAGTGCACACCTTATACATGGTACATTTATATTCACATACACACAAATGTTGAAAGTATGTATGATAATATAGAATATGTTAATGCATTAACCTGACTTCTTTATGCGATTGTCTTCGTCTATCCCATATTGGAGATTAAGTTTTTACTCAATTGATCATTGACGATTTGGTCAGATAAAAGTTACTATTATTAATTATAGTAGAATTATTGTAATGTTGTGATTTGCAGAAGGTTGTTGACCACTAACGTCCGATATCGACCAGTTATTGATAGTTAGCCTAGGCTGACCTCGGGCACCAACAAAAAAGGTAAAACTTAAGAAATGCCCATTCAACTCAAGTCTGTATTTAAACATTAATGACATTATTCATTTTGAAATATTTGACAACATTTTTGTACATGAGAAGTACAGTCGATTATTAAAATCATGTTTAGATGCGTTCAGTGTGTGCGTCCCACACAATAGTATATACGATAATGAAAACAAGGGTCGTTAGCTACATTTGTAGATGTGTAGAAACTGTATGCTACGTTGTCTTCCTGTTTAGACTTTCAAAGCATGCTTTTTTTCTATATTTACTTCAGACCTGCCCAAACATTCATATAGTACTTTTTCAGTTCCTTTTGCAATTAAAGATTAGCCAAATAAAAGCAAGTAAAGATAGATCAACTTTACCTGTATGAATGGGAGGGCAAGTCTTCGTTCGTTTCCACTATCGCAGAATGCTACTTTCGTTTCTGCAAAGACGCGTAGAAAGCCGGGTATTCGTCGTTGATTTTTTTTCCGGTTTGTTGGTGTTTGAAGTTTAATTCAGATAAGATATATGAATTATATTGTGTATTTATATGGAGTTATCGAATATAAATGTATCGTATTCGAATATATTAGCATATCTTCAGCATTCATGATATATTAGCGAGTTAGAACAATACATCAACGGTCTTTCATTTAACAATAATATAAAGATAGTTTAAATTAATATGATTTACCTATACATTATTGAACCATATGCAATGTGTTATCTATGTAGGAAAAGAGAGAAAGAGGGCATATATACGATGAATTCGTTTTCTATTATCATACTAAAACGTGAGGTGAATTTCAAGCATGCAGGATGTGCCTTAATGTGTTTAATCGTAGACCGGAGGGGGGTGGTGCTAATTAGCTAGACAAAGTCACAGATATTTCTTAGAAGCGAATCTGCTGTATGCAGAAAGTAGATATTGCTACAAGGTATGCACGATATGACTGTGTAAATGATTGGAACGCGGTAACCAAATCATTTGATTTAAATAAAAGGGAATAAGAGAGGATGTTCTGGATGTAAAGAAGCATGCAACGTATTGATTCATTTTTATCGATCACAGTTCAGCTAGGCCTATAGCCGGCTCTTGAAAGCATCACTTATTTACATCTTACAGATCAAAATCTTTGTAAACTTCGGATTTTCCTCAATTCAGAGAATTCCTCTTATTTAGATTTCATTAACTTTAAATAGTTCATAAAAGTACGGCCAGATATTATTAAAACAAACCTTTCTTGTTGAAACAACGTCCTGTCAGAATTATGAAACGTGGATAACACTCACGGAAAACCCTAGTTTCGTTTTGAGTTCCGAGAAACGTACGCTGGCCTTGAGTATTACCTGGTTCTATAAATAGGTATCACGGGACCTCCACTGTAATCATGTTTACAGTATGGCTATTATCGATGTCTACGCATGACTATACTTTGTATACCTACATTCCAACCAACTATGTGTTAGAGGATTGTTGGGGGCGTTGTTATGACGGGTTTCCCGTTGTAGATACTTTCCCTTTCGCTTTGTTTATTCACCTATTTATTTAT